GAGAGAGAGAGAGAGAGAGAGAGAGAGAGAGAGAGAGAGAGAGAGAGAGAGAGAGAGAGAGAGAGAGAGTCGAGGTCGTTGATCTTGCACGTTCATTCACACTGCCATGATAATCAAGCTACCTGTGCACTTCACACACATACACAGAGAGAGAGAGAGAGAGAGAGAGAGAGAGAGAGAGAGAGAGAGAGAGAGAGAGAGAGAGAGAGAGAGAAGCAGGGTTGGGTTGATTTTGGGAGTCAGACAATATACCTGAAGCACAATTCCAACATCGATAACCATGCTCTTCAAGCGAGTCCTGAATGAATCAAGACCCTTCCGTGCCAAGTAGCTGAAGCGGTGGATGTCAATGTCCACCTCCATGTAGTTCTTTCCCTGCGGTAATGTTCACATCCACAAAATCCCGAACGCATCCATAGATTCAGCACAAAGAAAACACGTTCAGCATTAATTTGCTAATGAAATAATGAACTAATGTAGGCCCCTGAGCAGTGGACTGTGGTCTGAGAGCCAAGTCTGAGAACCAACCATAGCACTGCTGCACAGTCTTACGGGGTTCCCCGTATGAGAACCAAGTCTGGGGCCAAGTCTGGGACCAAGTCCGGGAGCCAAATCGGAGAACCAAGACTGGGACCAAGTCTGGGACCAAGTCTGAGAACCCCGTCGGGACCAAGTCTGGGACCAAGTCCGGGACCAAGACTGGAACCAAGTCTGGAACCAAGTCTGGGACCAAGTCTGGGACCAGGTCTGGGACCAAGTCCGGGAACCAAATCGGAGAACCACGACTGGGACCAAGTCTGGGACCAAGTCTGAGAACCCCGTCGGGACCAAGTCTGGGACCAAGTCCGGGACCAAGACTGGAACCAAGTCTGGGACCAAGTCTGGGACCAAGTCTGGAACCAAGTCTGGAACCAACCATAGCAATGCTGCACAGTCTTGGAGAACCCCGTATGAGAACCAAGTCTGGGACCAAGTCTGGGACCATGTCCGGGACCAAGTCCGGGAACCAAATCGGAGAACCAAGTGAGAGAGCCAAGTCTGGGAGCCCTTTCTACGAATCAAGTCTGAGAAACCCGTCGGGAGACTGGTCGAGGGTGTTTCACGCATCGGAGTTGGTACTTCGAGTCCGTTGTTGCGTCCTCGTCTGAGCAACGAGCGATGTCGTTCTTTCGTTTAAACCACCAGGTACTTCTCCCAGAGATTTTCGTATGACGCAGCAGCAGTGCTCGCGCTGCGTGTGGCGCGATGTAATGGTCTGCCGTTTCACAAAAAATACATCCAGGCGACAATGGCCGTGCACACGATGCATTCTTTTGCGAACCGGCAGGCCAGCACATCCCACCAGACGCGGCGCGAGCACTACCGCATTGTTTAAACAGGTCGGTGTTTAAACCGGAAAATTGCCGGGAAATGTACCGCGTGCGGTGCGTGGTTTAATGCTCAGTTGACAGGTCGGTGTTGTGGCCGTGTCTACGATCTCACTTGGTGTTCACACAATTTTCTTTCTTTTCTTTTCTTTTCTTTTCTTTTATCCTTGCTCAGGAGGGGCCATGATAATCTTCTCTGTATCGTTCCCATTTTAACCGATGTCCCGAAGGACTTGTGTTCGCACTCGTGTTTCGTATTCGGCATTTTTTTCTGACTGCTTTCCTGTCTGAGAACCAAGTGTGGGAAGCCACCCTGGAGACTCGGCATGGAAACCAAATTAATTAAGTTATTTTATTTTATTTTACTTTTAACAATGGAAACCAAAGTTGAGTTGGCTTTCGAGTCTCGAATGAAATCGGTGAACAGTCTGAATCAAGGATGGAAACGAAGTAACCCACCCATGTGGCTGAACGGTACGCGCGTGCAAATCCTGTACGGAGGGGAGATGAATACCAAGGCCATTGCCCTTTTGGGGGGGTTGAGGGGGGGGGGGGGGGGGGGGGATAATAATAATAAAAAAAATGGAAACGAAGTGTGCAAAGTTGCAAACTGAGTCTAGAATGGGATCCCAATCTGGAAACTACGCCTGGGAACTGAGTCTGGGAACCGAGTCGGGGCCCAAGTCCAAGCTCAAGTCTGAAAACTGAATCTGGGAATCCAGGCTGTTTGTCCGGGCGCTCGGGCACGCAGTTGTGCCCAGATACACGCACGGGTGCCCGGTTGGGCACGAACCCCGGGCAGGGTTCCGTGCAACGCCAGATTCGCTTGTTGTTCGAAATGAACAGAAACTTTCCTTTCAATAGACAAAAAAGTTTATAGACAAATTAAACAAGCGACAGTTTGTTTAATTAAACAATAGACAGTTTGTTTAAAAATTTTATAGACAGTTTGTTTAAAAAGTTTATAGACAAATTAGTAAATTACACAATAAACAAGTTTCTGTCTATTGTTTAATTTGTCTATAAACGTTTTTGACAGATTCGGTTGTTTAATCGCTTGTTTGAAATGACAGAATCTTGCGATACCACACATTGGACATAGTAGGAGATACTATTGAAATAAACAAGGGATAATTTGCAAAATACCCTCATAAGATGAGATATATGCCAAAATGCCCCCGAGAGATGTGGGTAGAGCGGGATGCCCTTGTGGGCCGAAATATTTGTGTTGTGCCCCTGTCAAGCGGTTGTGCAGCTTTGCAATCTGGACCTCCCCGCTTGGGCCTTGGCCTTTTGCAATAGCGCCTAGGAGAAGTTGGCAAGTACGGGGGCATTTTACAAAGTTGGACGGTACCCCATAGGGGTATATTGCAAAGATGGGGGCCCAACCAACGCCAGGGGTATTTCACAAAAAAAAAAAAAAAAAGGTCAGAGGGGTATTCCGCCATACCCACATCTTTAAGGGCATTTTGGCATATATCTCAACCTATGGGGGGATTTTGCAAATTATCCCAACAAAGAAGAGACCAGTTTTTAATCGCTTCTTTTGAGATGACAGAACCTGCGATGTCTTTGACTCTATGGACATCGGGAAGGATTGGAACGAGATACGGGGAAAGATTAGAATTGCCCCTGAATTGCTGAAGTACAGACTTGAGTTCGAATCCAGATACCTTCAGATGAAGAGGACAAAATCGATCTGAATCGCCCTTTTAAAATGGGGAAGGTCAGTTCAATGAGATGGTACCTAAAGGCCATCGTCCATTAAAAATAATAATAATAATAATAATAATAATAATAATAAATTGCCCCCTGCTGCCCTGCACAAGCATTACACATGTAAGACCAGAAGAAATGGTCCAACATAAACCGAAAAAAAAAAAAAAAAAGGAAATGAAAGGCCCGGCCAACCCTAGCTAGGGTTTAGAAATGCGGTGGCGCTTGGGCGCGGGAGGAGGTCGGTGCCAACCCTTGACTGTTACAACACTCTAGCTTAGGTGCATCATAGATTTGGCATGCTACGAGAACAAAGGATGGAAACTGGACGTAGAGAGGAGGTTAGGTAGTGGGAGGTATACGAGAGAGAAATATAGCGTAGGGAAAAAAAAAAAAAAAAAAGGAGATAGGTTCAAATAGCCCTGTCCTTCTCCTTTCCAAAAAAGCAAAAGGACAGGAAAGGAAAGGAAAGGAAAGGAGATAGCATGAGAGTGGAGGATCTGTTTACTATTATGGTCCACGATCAAGAGCCCTTTGCTCGATCGAATTTTCGCCGAATTTTTCGGCAAGAAAGAAAAATGGGGATGGTTGGGCCAGGAGGGGGATGAAAGGGGGACTTTGCGGCGATCCAACTGCCTGTGGGAGAATCCTGTGCAATATGCCGTTTGCTCCTGGAGGACGCATCGTATGCAATAGAATGCTTTATAACGTAAAGCAGCACCTGACACATTGGCTTCCTAGATCTGCATCCATGGCAGACAAGATTATATGTGGACCTGACGCCAACGACGGTTCCGATAGCTCAGACAGGGGGGCAGGGGGGGGTTGGTTCTGGTGGATTCGATCCGTGGACCTGGTTTAACTAAAATGCTGCTGACCAGGTGCATTTGATAATCAGCAGCCTGCACTTGTCCTCTCATAACTTTTTTTCTTCTTCGTCTTCGTCGTCTTCGTTGTCGTCGTCGTATTCGTCATCATCATCGTCGTCAGCGTCATAAACGCCATCGCTGTTGTTGTCATCGACGCTGTCACTGTCGTCTTCTTTCCAGGAGAGAGGAATATCTAGGCAAAGAGGGAGGGTGGGAAGGGGGGAGGGAGGGAGGGACTCATGGTCGTCGTCGACATTGTTGTCATTGTCATCGTCGTCAACTTCTCTGCCGGAGAGATGAACATCTAGGCAAAGAGGCAGGGAAGTCGGAGTGAGGGAGGAAGGGAGGGAAGAAAAGGGGTAACTTGGAAAAGGGAGAGAGAGAAGGGGTGGGAGAAAAAAGACCCCAGAGCTGGTACAATCAGGGAGGGTGTTAAATTATACCTGATAGAAGACATGCTGAGGTCTGGAAAGCACTGGCTTCTCATTGTAATTGCTAACCAGCTTCTTCTCCGTATTCGACAAATAAACTTCATCAAGATTTGCAATCCTCGCAACCACCTTCAGCTGATCGCGATACTTCACAGTGTTTGCACCAAGGATACCAGGCACTTGCTCCACGTCATCCTCCATAAATTTCTGCAGCACAGTGTGACGAGTCATTAGTTTGCAATAACATCCGAAAACACCTTATGCTGTAACGATGTAATAATCGCAACATTGCAAAAAACAATCCGCCGTGTGCACCCGCACCCTCTTCATGAGTTGGTGAACGTCCAACAAAACCTCCTGGCACAGTCATGGTTCTTTTTTGAAGGGGTTGTCCACAGCGAACTTGACAACACACACACACACACGAGAGAGAGAGAGAGAGAGAGAGAGAGAGAGAGAGAGAGAGAGAGAGAGAGAGAGAGAGAGAGAGAGAGAGAGAGAGAGAGTACAGAGGACTTTCAAAGAGAAGAGCTTGATTGGACAACTGGCACAACCAAACTGCACCCCCTTCACACCACTTCTCTCTGTCTACCCAGCTCTTCCCAATCCCACACACTCAAGAAGCCTGCAACCAGCATCATCTTTAACAATCCACAGGCGATGATCCAGAGTAGATCGTGTTAGCTCTCTACCACGTATACCCACAACCGGTCACATCCTCCTCTCTCTCAGAATTTCTCCCAACTTTTGCACTCCTTTTCCTCGCCTGTACCTGGCACTCATAGTGTCCAATCACACCAGGGTCTGATAATCTGACTCTGATTCCATGTTCGCAAATCCATTGTGTCCGGGCTTGGACGGAGCACCCGAGGTTCGATCTCTGGTCCACAGACTCCACACCACTTGTTTGCGTTTTGATATTTATAAACATTTCTTGTTGTTCGTCCCTTCGGGATTTGAACCCATGCAATGTGTCTCAACCACTAGTCCGCTGACCATACGTAATGTAGGCTATAGCTCAGGACGACTCCCTTCCACAAACGTTGTACCCGGTCGGTCTTTCGAAAATCTCCCTTCCCTTACCGATCCACAAATTCGGTAGCCCGTCTTTCGAAGAGATCCTGTCTTTCGGGAAGCTCCTTTTTGAGAAAAAAGAGGTAGTTACAACTGACAACATCGGTTCAACGGTCCGCTTTGGCTGGTCGACGCGGTCGACGCGTCGCAAGCAGGCAGGCCGCCACTGTCCACTCTGTGTGTGGGTAGGGGGGCCAAAATGCTTGAGCTACCGTCTTCACCCGAACCAAAAGTCCGGTCATTATCGCTTGCTGTCTCAAAGACAGAAATTGCCCCAAATTCAGACAGAAGGACGTTACGACGCTTACGTTCTACTCGAATGAGGGACGACGGTAGTGCGGATGCGTTAAATGAGAGACCCCGGGGGGCTATCAAACGAGGGGATGCCTGCTATCGTCGAGACATCGTCGCCTCAAGGAGATCATAGACCGTGTAGCTAGTACCTTGGTAGGGGTAATGATTCTGAGTAAGTACTGAGGCGATTTCCAGACTCCAGAGTTCGTTGCACATTTATTTTCTGTCGTGCTTATCTCTTCTTTTTTTTTTCTTTTTTTTACCCTCTCTCTTTCGGAAGGCATTCATCAAGTAATCATGAGTGTAGGAGTCAAAAGGGAAAAAAAAAAAAAAAAAAAAAAAAAAAAAAAAAAAAAAGAAGAAGAAGAAGAAGAAGAAGACAGTCTTTCGAAGTTGTGATTGAGCATGTCTCTGCTCAACATGGGTTGGGCAAGAGTTGGGGAGTGATGGGAGATGACGGCTAATCACGTATGATACTACCGTCTTCCCCCCAATAGAACGCATGGCAATTCTCACTGTATCTAGAATGAAATTTGCCCCAAATACATCTATAGTGACCGTACATTCTCTTCGGGGGAAGGCGGTACTAGTGATCTCTGAGCTCAATCGCGATCATAACAAGTCCATACGTCACCTCAACGCCTCAGGTCCTCTCCACCGCAGCGCCATATCGGCATCGTACATCAAGTGGATGACTATTACTTATAAATCACAAGGGATATCAAGCGAAGTTAACACCACACGAGGAGGGAGCAAAAACAAAGGAGGTATTGGAGACGTTATTGCAAAATAAAAGAACTCAATAATTAGCCAAAAAAAAAAGAAAAAAAGATAACATACGCAAAAAGTACTCCCTCGCAGCAGCACCAACTGGCCTACCTTCTTCAGCCGAATACAACGTACGGTCATTATAGCTGTATGTATTTGGGCCATCTTTCCGTCTAAATACAGCAATCATGACCATATGGCATATGCTTCACAGTTCTCACCTTCAACACTGCCATCGCCTCCTCAGGAGCACTCTTCAGAAATTGCTCATTAAGTTGGAAGTAGAACACCAAACTGAAACCATCGCCATCAGCTTCGCAGGATGGCCAAATGTTGGCTTCGTAAAATGGGAACTGATCACAAATTCACCGGAGCGGAAAAGATAAGAGAAATGGAAAAGTGTTTCCAAAAAAAGGAAATAACAGATTCACAGCAGCAAGATTAGGATTCCAAAATACTTTCTAAAAAGTTTTTTTAATTTCTGCTTCGTGAAACGGGAACTGTCACAAAGAAAATACAAAAAGAAAAAGGTGAGCTGTGAAGGAATACTTGTTTAATTTTTTTTTTATTTTTATTTTTTTACGAATTATCTTATTCGGGTCAGTCAAGAAGTTCCAACCACGTAGAGTAGAAAAAAGGAACACAAGACAGCTTTAACCAAAAAAAAAAAAAAATCCCAAGAAAAAAAAACAAGAAACATACAGTTCGGACCCCAGGTCACAGCTGTGGCATTCCGGCTGGCAGGCCAACTAACACTGGCTCTGGCAGAGGATGACGGTTGCATACTGGTCTGCGAATCGGTACTCTCTCTCTCTCTCTCTCTCTCTCTCTCTCTCTCTGTGGCAGAGGAAAACACTTCAGCGCGTGCTACTCTCTCTCTCTCTCGCGCACGCGCACGGCGCCGCCCCCCTCTCTCTGTGGCAGAGGAAAACATTTCAACACTGCTACTCTCTCTCGCTGTGGTAGAGGAAAACATGTGAATATGTGTCCTCTCTCTCTCTCTCTCTCTCTCTCTCTCTCTCTCTCTCTCTCTCTCTCCCCTCCCACCCCTGAGCAGCTCAACTCTCACATCATCACATCACGAATTCATATTTTGCCAGTAAGTGACATATGACCATATTTGCCGAGAGACGGATTTCGTCATTCACTTTCCATCTTCATTTACAGCGCTTGATGCTGGCAAAATCACACGCACTTCAAATCGAGAAACCACAAGATGATCATAGTATCATAATAACGTTAACATTGGAATGATAGTAGGATACAAAGCAGATAAACACTGCCTGCCCCTGTGCAAGGATGACACACATAAAACGAGAAACGGTCCAAAGTCTGTCTTTCTGGTTGATTGTCCATATAATACTATAATAGTAAAATCATACGTCAAAAAAAAAAAAAAAGGGGCGATAAATAACCATGGGAAATATCACACAATTTCTACCCCTCAGAACTACTGACGATTTTCCAAGTAAAGAATTTCAAATAGGTAATAATGAATTGTAATTGTGGTAAAGGGGAAAAAAGACAAAACAAAAAGAGGAAAGAAGGAAAGCTCCGCCTGCTCGTCCCCTCTTACGAAAAACGGCGACAAAGTAGAAAAAAAATTTTAAATTTGGGAAAAAAAAAAAAAAAAAAAAAAAAAAAGGAAACAAAAAAAAAATGCTAAGGTCAAATATTACCCACAAACACCAGCTGCTCCCGAGTCCATGGACAAGCAATACATCGTTCCTTGGGAAAAGCGCAAAAAAAAAAAACATTTTCTTGCTCAGGGGCAACCATTGCTCCATACACAACACACTTTTTCTTTCTCAGAGCATACTCACACTAGCACTCTCCTAAATGCATCTGACCACAATTACGGCCACACTGGGAGTATCTGACTGCAATCACGTCCAGAATTTGGTAGAAAGAAGTCCTAATATGAGAAATAATGCCCTCAGAGACACCAATAGCTCCATACACACAGTACACCATTTCTTCGCACGTAAGCCACCTTTTTCGATTGTTCGGCTTGTCCATTTCAAAACAATATTTCAGATTATTTCTGCATCCAGGCCTGACCATAAAAGCCGTCAGATACATCCAGAAAGCTGACGGATACATCCAGGAAAGCGGTCAGATACATCCAGGAACGTCCTCGTGTGAGTATGGCCTAACCGTTACATGCATGTGCTCGTTAACAATTTTAGAATTTTAATTTCAATTTTTAGTTTTGTTCTTTTTACGTGTTCCTCGTCCGCCCGCACAAAAGGATTTGAACGTGGGGACCATTTAACTAGAAAGACAGTTTTCTTTTCAAAAGAAGAACTTAACAAATTTCAGAGAAGGCATAAAGTGCCATGAACATAACCCAGGAATCAGTTCAGATACAAGCAGGGATGCGTTCGGCAGATCACCCCCGGTTCTCCACTCTACCTGGCAGTTCACAACAAGCACTCTTGGTAGGAAGCTAGACAGGGCCAGCTCGCTCTGGAACGGCAGCTCCACAAAGTCAGCGATATGAGACGCTTTCCTCGGGGAGTGATAAATATCCACCCCAAATACATCATATATACAATAACTCGGAGCGGTTATCTTCTTCTTATCCCTGCTGTCTCTTATACACATCTAGATGTGTATAAGAGACAGGTGTGTGTGTGTGTGTGTGTGTGTGTGTGTGTGTGTGTGTGTGTGTGTGTGTGGATGTGTGTGTGTGTGTGTGTGTGTGTGTGTGTGTGTGTGTGTGTGTGTGTGTGTGTGTGTGTGTGTGTGTGTGTGTGTGTGTGTGTGTTTTGTGTGTCACATGAGACACCCATGCATCCCACCTGTCTCTTATACACATCTAGATGTGTATAAGAGACAGCTATCACTCCCTTCACAGATCATCACAAGCCATCCATAACGAAAAAGTATAGATAGGCAATATAATAAAAAATGCAAGGTTGGCCACATTTGTTGTGGTTCAGCGCCAAGTGCCCACACACTCGTCTGCTGCCAAAGCGGCACACTTGCACATATACATATGTATACATATATATTTAAGGGGATGGAGGGCAGAAGGCAACTCACCTAAGACAGAAGACTACTCCAGCAAGAAGGCACCGACCTGACCCCCCTCAGAGGTCTGAAAAAACTTCGTGTGTGTGTGTGTGTGTGTGTGTGTGTGTGTGTAGCATGTGTGTGTCACATGAGAGACGTACGGGTACGACAGGTCATATCCGTACAGCTCCGACGTCAACCTGTCGGCACACTGTGGGCAAGAAGCAAAGCGCGGAGGCGATTCCAAACACGGCAGGGTAAAGCCCGTCCGTATGTCCATTTGTGATACGGGCGAATAGGGCCGTTTTTGTCGAAGGAGGGTGGGCAGGCGACAGTAGCGTGTGACGAAAGCGAGGAGGGTTGGTGATGCGGGTCCGCTGCCCAGGGCACATTCACAGGCTGACCAGTGTTCATACTTTTACGGATACCCATCTATCAATCGAAAAAAACAAAAAAACGAAAACCGAAAGACGAAGTGATTACAACATTTGATTAAGTCACTTCGAGTTCCAATATCATCAGCAAGCTATCAAAAAGTGGATAAGAAATGAAGGAGCTATGCTATTCGATAAGTCAATTCCAGTTGCAATACCATCAGCAAGCCAGGAAAAACGAAAAGAAGGCGAAAATACTGAGGCGATCACACTTATCGAGTCGTCATTCCAAGTCCCACACCCATGCATCCCACTGTTCCATTCCAGAGCGCGCATTCACAGACCGACCAGTGTTCCTACCTTCATGGATACCCATTCGAAAAAACGAAAATCAAAAGTCGGGGCCATTCGATTACGTCAATTCAAGTTCCAATATCATCAGCAAGCCATAAAAAGTGGATAAGAAACGAAGCGATCATATTATCCGATAAGTCATTTCGGGTCGCAGTACCATCAGCAAGCCAGAAAAAACGAAAAGAAGGCGAAAATATCGAAGCAATTCCACTTCTCGAGTCATCATTCCAAATCCCATACCCATGCATCCTACTGTTCCATTTCAGAGCGCGTAGGGTGACGTTCAGAAGTGGGCGGGAGAAAAGACATCGGGAAGGGAGAGGAGCAGGGGGGATGATCCACCGAAGAGAACGGGCGAGGAGAGGGAGAGCGAAGAAGAGGGATAGTGGCGAGAAGAACGGTGTAAAGGAAGGAGACGGGGGGAGGAAGAGGGGGGTATCGTTGACACCAGGCGTGCGATGCTAGAAATTCCAAAGGTCCATCACTCGTTAATGCGCAAAGAGCAGACCATCAGCCCAATCCGTTGTCTGTAAAAAAAGCAGACCATTAAGATGTTCCAACATTATTATCGCCAAATAGGCGTAGCCTTCACAAAGCGACCATACCGTGCCCTGCCGCAGTCCAAATCTGCTCGTGAAAAACGGTGAAAGGGAAACTCACGGGGGAACTCACAACCTACAGACAAGTGAGGGTAATGCAGGGAGGGGGAGGGAGGAGGAAGGAGGAGGGAGTAGAAGAAGGGGGCAGGAGAGGCCCTGCTCTAGCTCTATCCTYCAGGTCTTACGCGCTCCTGTATCGGCGCAGACCATCTCGCCAGATTGCAGGGAGGGTGTGGCAAAAACCCTGAAGCGCTTTTCTACCCCATGCCACTTGGGGCGTCATCAGAGGGGGGGGCATCTCCTGGGAGACGAGGTGGGGGAGGAGAGGCATGAGGGGGGAGAGGGTGAAGGAGGAGACGGATGGGGGGAGGGGGGTGAAGATTCGTGATGGGGATAGGGAGGGGCGGGGGGGCATAACGCGGGCAGAGGGGGGGGGGGGGAAAGAAGAGTAGATGAAGTAAAGAAAGGACAGGAACGACAAAAAGGAAAAGGAAGGCTAAAAAAACGTGCGAAGATGTCCCCGCCGCCATCTTGGTTTCCATCCTCGTCGTTGCGCGCTATCCAGCCGCCTCCTCCAGCCAACCCGAATGAGCRAGCAGAAAGCACAAGCAAAGGCAGCCAGCAAGAAGAAGCGACACGAAGCAAATCGTGCCGGCCACAAGCAAGGCAAAGCCCCTGGTCGAAGTACGCAGGAGCACGGTTTCGGAGAGGCATGCGGCAAAAAGCAGACCCGCCAGCGCAAGGTTGGGAAGCAGGGCGAAAAACAGCACAAGGGCCAGATACGCGTCCAGTGCTGGCGAGCGTGGGCAGTAGCTAGGCATGGCGATTGCCGCGGGGCAAGTCGCGGCGCACTGCATGACGAACAGTCAGAGCACAGGGGGAACGGGATCACAAGCGTGCTTCACCCCAGGAGTGTTACCACTTCCTCCTGCTCAAGCCGCTCCTCTTCCTGGTCCCAGTCGGCGAAAAAATCCATGCCGTCCGCCGTAGTGCCAAAAATTCTTTCTCCTCCGCCAAAACCGGATCGCCACCCGTTCCTACCGCTACCGTAGCTGGTTGTCGTCAGATAGGCCGATGAATAGTCCTACCGTCGTCGACTCCTAATATAGTCATTACTTCGCCGCCCCCAGCCTGCGTCTAAAGAAAGCTTCCTATTCCATCCCTACGCTTAGTGTGCGCATCCGACGGTACTTATTAGTGCAAAAAGAAAAAAGAAAAAAGAAAAAGAAAAAAAAGAAAAAAGAAAAAAGGGAAAGAAAAAAAGGGGGAACAGCCAAAGGAGAGAGGGAATGAGTCAGAACGTCTTTCGTTGGCATGTGGGGGGTGCGTGTGTGCAAGGGTCGATCCATCTTGGCCCCTTCATGGGCGAATTTGTCCCTAGGTTCGCATGTGCCCCGCCCTGCCCCGCTGGGTCGGGGGAAGCGATAGGCACGAGTTCGGGGACACACGTTGGTCTGTCCACCGAGGCGCTTATTGCCAGAAAAAACCAAAATAAAAAAGGGGAAACAGAGAAAAAGAAGAAGAAAAAAAGAAGAAAAAAGGAAAAAGAAAGAAAAGGAAAAAAAGGAAAAAAGGAAAAAAAGGAAAAAAGGAAAAAAAGAAAAAAAGAAAAAAAGAAAAAACAAAAAAACGAAACAACGAGACAAAGGAAAAAAGAAAGGAGGGGAAAGAAAACGGGGAAGGGGGGTAGGGGGGTTCTACTCTCGCAGGGGCAGCCCTCCCGCTAACCGCCTTCCGATCCTCATCCGTCCGTCCAGCCATCGCCCGTATAGTCATGTGCGCGTGTGTGTGTGTGTGTGTGTGTGTGTGTGTGTGTGTGTGTGTTGTTTTAAAAGACCACAGATCCTCTCTATCACTCCCTTCACAGATCATCACAAGCCATCCATAACGAAAAAGTATAGATAGGCGATATAATAAAAAATGCAAGGTTGGCCACGTTTGTTGTGGTTCAGCGCCAAGTGCCCACACACCCATCTGCTGTCAAAGCGGCACACTTGCACATATACATATGTATACATAATACATATATATTTAAGGGGATGGAGGGCAGAAGGCAACTCACCTAAGACAGAAGACTACTCCAGCAAGAAGGCACCGACCTGACCCCCCTCAAAGGTCCGAAAAAACTTTGTGTGTGTGTGTGTGTGTGTGTGTGTGTGTGTGTGTGTGTGTGTGTGTGTGTGTGCGTGTGTGTGTGTGTGTGTGTGTGTGCGTGTGTATTCTCATGTTCCCTATACATAACCCAAAAAGAAAGCGCGACTGTGTTGTCATGTTTACTGCACACAACCCCTCAAAGAAAGCATGACCCTTGTGTTCCGGTCTATCATGTTCGCTACACACAAATCCACAGAAAAAAGCACGACTGCGTCAGACTGTTTTGACGGACTTCCATCTGGAGGTTGTTTGTTTGTCTGTGTGCGGAAGAGACGGAGCAACACACACACACGCACACACACACACACACACACACACACACACACAGAGAGAGAGAGAGAGAGAGAGAGAGAGAGAGAGAGAGAGAGAGAGAGGGTGTGTGTTTCAGACCTCATGTAGGCTTTGCCGCGAATCTTGAAGGATGAGGGTTCAACGGTGGACCACCTCCCCGGTTCAGGCCTCTCTTGTGGGCACTGCAGCAGGGTTGCCCCTGCATACAACTTGTCACAAGCGAGCTTCAAGGCTGCAGACATACATACAAGAGACAAGAGCAAGGTGGCTGGCTGATCAGCTGGGCAGCAAAGATTACCAACAATTTCTCAGAAACACGTCCTCCCAACAAATTTCTCCCCCCCCGTCATCGTCATACACATCACGATCATAAATATAAGTGCAAGGACCTGCAAAATCTCACCCTGAGACACCTGCTGTGTTCTGAGTTTTGTCGCTTGTTTGAGTGACTTGGTGAGATTCCCATATTCCGCTTAGATTTCTAAGTGTGTGTCGTCATATTCGCTATACAACTGTGCCAGACTGTTTTTCCGGACTTTCACCGACTCATCGCGAGGCTGAGAGTTCTAAGCGAGTGTTGTAGATTTTTGCACCACAACAGCCCCTGTTCCACCCAGATCAGTAGATCCAAAATCAAACCAACTTTACCTCTATTGCACGCAATGAACACACTTAAGGGGAGCCCCTGATACTTGCACCAAGGCCCTGTATACTGCAAGCCACGAAGTTTGGCAGAGCAGCCCTGGACATGGAGGCCGCCCTCCAGATTCAGTCCTCTTCCCATAAGAAAAGCACCTCATCTTTCCAGAGAAGGAGAAAGGGAAAGGATGGAATGTATGCCATGGAGTCTGAGGATGACTCTGCAGGCTCTGACCAGGAGGGGTGCTCTACTCCCTCAGCTGATCAAGATGCAGGAGCATCAGCAGACCAGGCTGCTCTGATTCCGGGCCAGGCACTAACGAGCCTTGCCAGAGGCTCTGGTCAGCTCCACCCCCAAATGTCCACCACTTCCAACAGGTCAGGCCAGCGCCCTACTGTCTTCATCCGAATAGAACGCCCGGTCATTATAGCTGGTATTTGGCACAACTTTCGGCCCAGATACGGTGATAATTACCGGGCATTCTATTCGGGTGAAGACAGTAGTGGCCAGCAGAGGCAGAACATGCCGAAATCTGCCAAGCGTGCAGCTAATCCCATGGATCCTTCCTCTTTTCCATGGAAAGACCTGAAGATTTCTGAGGGTCTCCGACAAAGGAGAAAGGATGATGGGGTTTGCCTCAGGTGTGCAGGCAAACATTTTGTCAAGGACTGTCCATCCTGGCGCAACAACAGCAGCAGCAATTCAAAAAAACTGAGTAGGCCAGCAGAGGTAGCAGCAATTGCATTCACCTCCTTCTGATGGTGAATCAGCTGCTGAGCTCCGAAGTGATGGGGTTAAGTTTATGAATCTGAATTTGTTTAGAACGAAAAGCGTCCACTGGGAGTATCATGCTTCCAGGACAGGATCGTACAAGAAGTTCTTAGAATGATCTTAGAACCTATTTATGAACCCCGCTTTTCCACTTATTCACATGGCTTCAGACCGGGACGTAGTATGCATAGATGCATAACCCCATTTCAACCGCAACCTGCTGCACCTCTACACAAACACATCCAGATTCAGGACAATCGTTTTGCTAGTGGGGCCTAGGCCCTGGTACACACAGCAGGCTGAGACCTGATACTCAGCATAGGGTGGAACAGGTCTGGTAATCAGGCCTGAGGACTGGTAATCGGACCATGCTCAGGAAAGACTTGATACTCAGCCTTTATTACACAGCCGTTTGAAGGCTGTGAAAAGGGAAACAGGCGTTTCTTTCTGGTACAGGCCTGGTAGGCTTAGTTTTACGGCAGACACAACGTAAGAATTTTCCTGGACGTAGTGGCCGGATTCATTGTCTGAAATTAGGACCATCAGGACATCACGTGCAGAACTGCACAAGTCTCAACTAGGACATCGTCCAAGGATGATCTTCACCGATGCTCAAGGAGAGTAATAGTGCCAAACACGGAATGGGTCGATCAGAACTCGCAGCGGAGCATGAGAAAGACGTTCCTCCCGCGCTTGGAGGAATAGTCTGGGGACTCCTAGAAACAGCGGGGCTTTTCAGACTCTGCTATTAGCTTTTGCAAGTCATCCCATCGACCGCAAGGATTGCAGCTACTCGGTTGCTACAGGGGCATTTACGTATGACAATCAGAACCTGACACAAGGGGCAGATACGCCCAGGATGACACCCCTTTCACAGGCAGGGTGACCCAGGAGTGGATAGGCCCAAGTTGAACCGTCTTTCACATGCTGTCAGAAAACGGGATGCTTGCATTCGTAACAGGGGGCATCCCGGGGTAGATAGGCAGAGGGCGATCCCCCTTTCACAGGCTGTACAGGGTTACGCTTGAGTAGATAGACCCAGGATGACTCCCCTTTCACAGGCTGTCGAGGGTGAACCTCGTAGATAGGCCCAGGGCAACCCCCCTTTCACAGGCTTTCCAGGGTGGCCCTCGAGTAGATACGTCCAGGGTGACTCCCTTTTCGCAGGCTCACAGGCTGTCAGAAAGTGTGAAACTTCCATTTGCAAGGGGGGTCACCCCAGGGAAGATAGGCCCAGGTTGACCCCCCTTTCACAGGCTGTCCGGGGTGACCCCGTTTCACAGGCTGTCCAGGTGGCCCCCCATAGGGCCACTTCCATTTATACGCACGCCCCAAATTGATCGCCTTGAGTTTGTTGCCATAAACCAAAGTGACTCTGATGGCCAAGGCAAGTAGGATAATAAATAGGTGGATGTCCTACCTTCACACAACGAATCTGGTCACAGTCGCCGTTAGATACATCCACACTAAGTGGCTTGCACTCCAAGCAGCCGAGCAGAAGCGTTGTGCGCGGAACTGTGTTTCTGTGTTGTGCAATGGCACACACCATAAGAGTGGAGCTCAATAACATCTCAATGACATGGATCGTAACCTCCCTCGTGAGCCTGTGCAGACCACCTTCCAGGTCTTCCAAAATGGCCCCTGCCAGACCCGACTTCACCCAAATCGAGCGCCCAATCATATAGCTGCTGTGTTTGCGGCAACGTCCAGTCCAGACACAGCCCAGGCATTCTATTCAGGTGACGACCGTAGCTGTCTGACGGGTGTGTACCACAATACAGTAGGGATGCTCAGGTAGTGTAAAGGCTGGATATCGTCTTTTTCCTAAGTTGCTCGGACAGCCCCACAAGGTTGGCACAAACGTTAAACACACCAGTACCTCGCCCAGGCAGACTTGACAATCAAAGGGCATCACCACACCACTCTCGAAATGTGCAAAATCAGAATCAACTTCCTGCTAGAACATGGCCAAATGCACCCGCCACATTTTTGTCTTTTCCACATTTCGAGAGTGGTGCGGCGAGGCCCAAAGTTGGGACATTCCCGGCTCTTCGAACAAACAGTGCTTCCAGACCAAAAAGGCTCGTGGCGCCAGGCAGAGAAAAAAAAAAAACAAAAAAAAACGCATCCATTGCAGTTCCTTTACCTTTTGCACGCTGGGGGAATCCGCCACAGCAAAAATAGGCTCGGAGGTACTGCTGGGGTTAAGGCTTCGGTCTAATGAAGTGGACAAGTTACCTGCAGGTGATGCGTCAAATTCATTGGCGTATCTTGACTTAGTAGTTGCAAATGCCTTGCCATTCTTTGCACATGCCCATCTCTTCATAGGGCTTGAAAGGCCGCCTTGCAACGGAAGAGTCTTCACCCGTGGCAAGCACAGCAATAGGTCTCTCCCAGCTTCCCCGTCCTTTGCGCAGTTGGATTTCTCGGCGCCCCATTCGTCCGGCAATCCATCTCCGCAGGAGCTCCTTGGCGTCCATGTGTCGACCGATACTGTCATCGCTGACCTCTTCTTGCCCAGTTCGAACTCCGGTTGGCCACCGTCCATTTCCCCTTCGCACAGTGCAAGATTCGCGCAACACGACCGCGTTACGGACAGCCGTCGCATGACTGTCGTAGTGGTCGTCTCTTTGCCTGTGCATACACACTCTACAACATGCACATGCTCCTCAGACGTTCTATGGTTTTCCCTCTCCGCCACCCCTTCCCATGACGAGGAGCCAAATACACTGTTCGGGTCAAAGTTCGGCACCAAACCTGGCATTGTCGGCACCCCTTCTGCCGCCAAAACCGACGGAATCGCTATCGGTGTGCCAGGGCTGCAAAGCCTAGCAGCCTGGGCAAATACCCCTGCTCTCGCTGCTTCGGACAACGGCGTCCTGGAGCCGGACGTCACGCTGAAGTAATCTGCAAAACCGCCGAACAACCATCATGCATCTTAATGTCGGAGCCAGAGCACCGTACGCAAACTCCCCCAGACCAGAACTACCCGAATTTCAACAACACAGCCCCCAGACCATGCATTTGGGCCATTTCTCGATTTTTGCAAGTCATCCTTGTGCACAAGGATTTGTGTGTGCCATCCTTGCCAAGAAGCACCATAAGAAACATCCCCCCCTTCCCCCCTTCCCCCCAGAGCAGCACTGAATTTCAATATGAGAGCCCCGAGACCCCATCATCCTTGTGCAGAGACCATGCTGATCTTCTGTGTATTGTTCCAAATTTCAGCACACGTCCCAAACCTCGGGCAAAGATCATGCATATGACAGCAGAACAAGTCTAAATTCAACGGCATGTAGTTTCTTATGGCTCTGCATAACCATCATACTCCTTGAAGAGCCAACAAAAAAATTCACCGACAAATTCCCCCGACAATATAATAGAATACTAAGAATAGTAATGATGCCAAAGCACACACAAGACAGCCACGAAAAGAAAAGAAAAAAAAGAATAAAAAGGAGGGCCATGATGCACATATGCAAACGATCCAGAATGCCTGCAAATTCTTCAAGCAAGCAGTGCCACACATAGTACCTCGTCCGGGGAAGTCAGAGTCTGCATATCGGGGCAATATAAAAATTAATAAATTATAGAATTAAGCAGAGACTCAGATAATAGACCACATCATCTAGAGGGCGGAACGCTTGACATCTCAGGAGCAAAACACACACACACACACACAAAATAAATTACTAAATTAGCTTCGGCTAGTGAATTTACACTGCCTCCGAACATCCATAAAGTACGTAGAGGCTGTGATGTGTCGTCAAACCTGCTGGGACTTGTACGCGAGGTATATATAGTATATATGGGTAGCTAGAGGGAGGTGAGAGAGAACAAAATAGGGTAGGGAAAAAAAATGCAACTGTCCCCCATATGAGGACAAAACAGATGTAATCTTTTTTTATAACAAGAAGAAAAAAAGAAAAAAAAGGGCTGGGGTAGTAACCATCAGCAGCATAGTACCTTTGACACTCTGGAAGTCGTCATCCACCTCATCGTCGAACACAGACCTTGATTCATGCCACTCATCCCTCTGACCTGCCATTTTGATCCCACATGCACATGTCACAGAAATGTCATAGAATCCCCCCCCTCATACCCCTACCACTTCCCCTCCCCCCCAATCCCCCCCCCAACACACACACACACACGCATGCATCATTTTCGCCAGTGTGAGGTCCTCCCAGCCCCGCTGCTATGCTATGATAATCCACTATCCAACAACGGTACTATTCTTGCCAATGATTCTTATTCCATCGTTTTTCCCCTCCTCTCCTTTTCTTCTCTATTCCTTTTCCTTCTCTTTATCCGTCTCTTTGTCCATCCATCTCTTCGTCCTTCTCTTTGTCCTTCTCCTGTCCTTCTCATGTCCTTCTCTTGTCCCTTCTCTTTTCCTCCTCTTTCTCTTTCTCTCCTTCCTTCTCTTTTTACTTCCATATTCCCTTCTGTTTTCGCTGAGCATAGCCTGCACATAGCATGGCTTTCCCTTCCCTTTTCTCTTCTCCTTCGCTTTGTATGTCTCGTTGCCCATCCTCTTTGTCCTTCTCTCCTCTTTTTCCTCCTCTTTTCCTCTTCTTACTTCTCTTCTCACTGAGCATAACCTGGACATAGCATGGCTTTCCCTTCCCTTTTCTCTTCTCCTTCGCTTTGTATGTCTCGTTGTCCGTCCTCTTTGTCCTTCTCGTCTCCTCTTTTCCCTCCTATTTTCCTCCTCTTTTCCTCTTCTTCCTTCTCTTTTTCCTTTGCTATTCCCTCCTCTTTTCACTGCAGAGGCATAGCCCGGGCTTTTCCTTGACTTTGTCCATCCGTCTCTTCGGCGTTTTCTTCTCTCTTCTTCCTTCTCTTTTTTCTTCTCTTCTCCCTTCTCTTTTCCCTTCTCGTTTCACTTGCACAGGCATAGCCCCGGCATAGCATGGCTTTCCCTTCGTTTTCCCCTTCCCAGGCAGAGCCCAGACATAGCCCGCCCAAGCATAGCATCACAAAGGCCTGCTATAGAATAGCATAGCAAAAGCATAGCACGGCATAGCACGGCCATCACATAATAGGGACTGCATTAAGATCACATATAGCACAGACATAGCATAGGGATGGTGTGGACATAGCATTACTGCATTAAGATCACATGTAGCACAGACATAGCATAGGGATGGTGTGGACATAGCATTAGGATTTCAATACAATGCAGAGTCCAGTATAGGCGCATAAGGATTCGGATCTTGGACACACCGAGAACAATTTGAATTGTTCGTAGAGATGGGCCCGGCTGTAATCGCTCTCACTGTTTCATGGACTGCAGTACTTTTTGAACCAGTTTACTACCTTGCAATAGCAAGGAGGATTGGATTAAGCGCCTGAATCCAGACACGTTTTATGCCGAGATGCAGAAAAACAGATGGATCGCGATTTTTTTTGCCACCTCTCCAAAAACACATCCAGATTCAGGCATCAAACTCGCCTCAGGTGAATCCTGAGACCTGCCAGAATTTCATGTTTGTCCCTCCAGAGGCACAACAAATAACAAGAAAAGAAAACAGTAATTGTTATGCTAGGGGAAGCCCCCACTAAGCTATGTCTAAGGGCGTCGTCACACCACCCATGAAACTCGGGCTTGTGCTCCTTTGACTTGCTTCGGGGTAATGCCCTGACATCTTTCACGCTCCACTACCGTCTTCACCCAAATAGAACGCCCTGTCATTGTAGCTGTATTTGGTCAGCTTTTAGTCTCGATACAGCGATAATGACCGGGCGTTGTACTCGGGTGAAGATGGTAGTCCAAAGTTGTGGTCTCCCTATTGCGGTGCTCGCCATGTATAACAGTTGTTCCAATTCTCCAGCTTCAACTGCACCTGGCGACTTCAGATAACTTTTCTTTAGCATTGACGTTAGAGCACAAGCCTTAAAAAAAAAAAAGAAACAACGTACGAGCACATCTTTTCACAAAGATGGCCAGATACATCCGTTAAAAAGTTAGTAAAAACATACGAGCGCATCCTCTCACAAAGATGGCAAGATACATCCATTACTATGAAGGGTAACCGATGTATTGACCCACATTCTGTGGAAAGATAAGTTTTATTTGGTTCCATGAGAGGTAAGTCATGGTTTTGGTTCCAACACATGTAATCCAAAGCCAGATCTCACCGTCAGATCCTGTCGGTCAGATCTCCAAACAAAGTCCTAGACCTAGGCTTGGACTGCACTGGCCGGCGGCTGGAAAGTTTTTGGCCGCGGAAAAATCTGAGGGACCCTCCTGGAAAAGAAAACGTCCATTTCGTGTGCATCCTACCGCCACACAGTTTTGGCAGGACCGGAAAAGACGCCACATTCCCGAATAGGAAAACGAGGTCGGTGCCCTTCGGAAAAGGAAAGTGTGGCGGTGGGGCTGGTCCACAGGGGAAACCAGGCATCAGCTCATTGGTGCTGCCTTCATAACGGACGTTCCGTCGCACGTCCACTGCACCACTCCTACTGGACTCCGATGCCAACAGCTGGCAAGCCGCCCCCTCCCGTTCTATCTGGCTGGCATCTCTGGAAAAGGATTTGTCCAAGAAGCGGTGTTTTTTTCCACCAGCCAGGCGAGTGGAAACCATGGTTACAAACTTACGATACGGACGTCCAGATCCCATTCCGGACCGCATCTGGATGTCCGACGGACGTCCGGTCTGGTAGGTCCGGAAGAGGGTTTTTTTTGTTTTTGATTTTTTTTGGGTTGTTCAAAGCCCACCCCCCAACAAAATGTTTTGGGATAACTGTTTTCTGGCCCTTTCAAAAAGCCAAAGAGAGTCGGGTGGGGACTGATTCTCTGTGTGTAGGGAGGTGCACAGGTTGGGTACTGCCTAGAGGTACGTATGGCCCAATTCACCCCGTCTGTGTGTGTGTGTGTGTGTGTGTGTGTGTGTGTGTGTGTGTGTGTGTGTG